ATATATGTATATATGTTTACACAGAAAATTTCACGGCCTTTTTTGTTTGTTTTTTTTTTTGTATTTGTTATGTAAAAATTTAAAGCAAAATTTACCAAGTATTTCTTTAGCAGGAAATAACCGGTCATGTTTACTATTTATAAGCATTAATAACAAGTATTTCTCGAGTTCGGGGTTTCTCGGGACCGCTCAGGATTTTTTCGGAACTTTTCATATTTTACGTTACAGGGGTTTTTTTAAGATTTTACTAAAACTTATACAAGGTATTTTTGGGATCGATAAAACTTTTTTCGTTACTTTCAAAAATTCATCTTCCAAAATTTGTTTAATGGTTTTCCCGGGATTTTCTTAATTTTTCGGACATTTTAATTAGTTTTCAGCAGAGACTGAAAATAAAAGTTATTTTAAATTTTTTGATATCAAAAAGGCATAGTGAAAAAATTATGACTTTTATCATTTTGAGCAAATAATTCCGGTTATTTCTGCTCTTTTTTTTTTAAGGCAAAAATAAAAGTTTAGATTTGCCTTTTATTTTTTTGAGCAGAAAATAATCGGAAATTGTTGACTTTTATTTTTTCAGGCAAAAATAAAAGTCAAAGTTAAAAATCAAGTATTCCAGAGCTGCGTATATTCGAATGTGATAGTTTTGAAGCTCCTTCATGGATTTTAATAACCTCTATACCCAAACAGCAGACTTTTTTTCTTGGAATATGTCGCTATTTTTCCTATACTATTTTTGCGTATTTCATATTTAATATTTTCTCGCGAGCTCTTCAGAAGGTCTTGGGACTTGCTTGGAACTTTTCGGAATCCTTCCTGACTATTTTCAGGGCTTTTGATTTTTTTCTTAACTTTACCGAATTTTTTGGTGTTTTTGCGGGACCCGTCCCAAGTTTTCAGACCAACTTTGGTCTTTATTTTTGCCTTAACAAATAAAAAGAAAAAAATAGTTTGACTTTCATGCTCAAGACAATAAATTTCAATAGTTAACACTATTTTTTTGCATTTATTATATAGGACATGCTCCTTACGATCTTTAGAATTGAGTAATTTTACAACGATTTTGGTAGTTTTTATGAAACAAATTGGTAAGAAATATGTAAGCAAATTATCGCAGAGGCAACACTGTTCACAACAATACTAGTGACTATGCGAACAAAACAAAAGCTTAAACAACTACCAAAGCACGCTGACAATGAATGTTGATGACGGTGACAACGCGACGCAAGCTCAGAAATGAATAAAAAGTATGGCCCAGCGAAGAATGATGTTGTGGCGAACCAGTTTTTTCGCTCTTAATATTGAGAAAAAGGTAAACAAAAAAAAAAACAAGTTCTTATTAACAACTACAGTTACAAAAATATTAGTATAATTATTGTTAAAAACACATATGTATATAGGTGCATGCATATATACATACACACATACGTAGGTGTATGCAACGGCTATTACTGATAGTTGATATTAATATAAACATTGTGTCATTCACTTAGAATATTTCAATGTTAACCAAATCGATAGCTCAAATTTCTGTATTCATTGATAATGATGTTATTTGTGTGATATGTATTTAAAATGGATGTAGATGTAGCTTAATGGCGTAATTTTCGTTATTGGCGTTATAATTGCAAATTATCTCATAATTCAAAGATTTCAAAGATTTTCAAGTTATTTTCCGCTAATTAATTATTGGCATTTAAATATTAAATATTCCAAGAACTCCAAGATGATATTTTACGCCATTGTTTTGACCCACCAAAGACTGTTATGTTCCTATCTCCGGAGATACTTTGCAACTCCTTAATAAAAGCTTGATCGGCTTGATTTTTTTTTTTATGATATCTCTAAAGTTGTGGTCGAAACCAAACCCCCAACTAAAAGATATGTTAAACTACAGATCTACATACACTGCCGGAAAAAAGTATTGGCACGGAGAATTTTTCCCAATATATGCAAAAAATTGTATTCTAACTTTTTTCCGCAAATTTTTGATAAAAATATGGTTCCTCCTTCAATAAGAAACATAAAAATATAATTTCTAAACTTTGTGTAAAACTCGCGAAAATTCAATAAATTTGTATGCTAATTTTCAACTACTTTAAGAAATAGACCCCTTTCAGGTAGCGAGCGGCATGCCTAAACCCTTCCAGGACTGCGAAGTGGATCGTTGCCTGGTATGTTCCAGTGCGCCGGCACCCAAGCCTAGTGAAGAGCAGACTGCTCAGCCATCTCGCTTAGAGATCTACGTCTGCAACCGGCTTTGAACTGCATGTGACTGAGTCAAGCGCTTTGAATATCTGAGCAGATGAAGATATTATTACATATGACTTCTGCTGCATGTTATTTTTTAACCGCTTCCTGTATGGCATCGACTTCAGCTGGAAAGACGCTGCAGTGATTGGGTATGCGAAATTATTTTTCCAGCCCCAGTCGGACTGCTCTTACCTTGCCGTCTGGTTTAGAACCATCGGTATAGCAGTGGAATGATCGATTTTCATCAGGAGCCAAAATTCTTTAGCTTGAATGAAAATCCTATACCTCTTTGTGAAGTTCAAACTTGGTACACAGTAATCTGTGGCCGGTATATCTATGTTCTTGAATATTCCGTTGTGGCCATACTGAGTGTCCCTCCAGCCGGGTAATTTCGGCAGCCTAAGAGCATCACACCTTTTGAAGTGCTTCAGATGTGGATTTCCTGTTGAGACTTGGCCCCTATACCAAGTGGAGAATATGCCTAACAACTACCGTGTATAGCGAATACATAGTGCTAGTTGATAATGCCAGCTACACCCAAATTCTTACTTACAGCTGTAGAGGACTACCCATGCTTTCGTAATACGCTCTTGTATATTTTGCGACCAGTTTAGTTTTTGTCCGGAACTACGCCTATATAGTATTTGGCGCACTCCCCCTAGCTTCAGAGTTGTGTTGTCTATCGCAGGGACCTGAAGTGAGGGGTTTTTACTTCCTGATAAGGAGCACCTGGTCAGTTCTCTTTGGGTTATCACCCAGGCTTTTCTCCTTGGTCTCTCCTTCAATTAATCTTAGCTTTTCTGACATGATATCACACAGAGTTTGTGGAAATTTTCCCCCTCTCAAACACCGCAAGATCGTCAGCACACGCCTCCCCCCTTCTAGGGCCTGAAACAATTCATTAATTGCCATAACCCATAAAAGCGAACAGAACCCCAGCCTGCGGGCTTCCCTAGCAAACGTATCTGTCCAGTGACGCAGCTGTCGTGCGAGCGTCACTTTCTGTGTGTTTCGATGCCCAGACCCGTTAAAGCTGATGTGATTGCTTCTGGCGTGATGTTGTTGATCGCACCCTCGATGCTTAGAAATGCTGTCAAGTCAATCCATATATCACTCAGTATGCGACACGATATCGTGCAGTGCTGTTTCGGTGGACTTTCCCTTTATATATTTATAGGCATGCTGCGATACCATAAGTTTGTTTGCATTTGATTCCCTGAGGAGGGATTCAATCAGCCGCTTCATTATCTTGAGCTGGGAAGATGATAGATTAATAGGTTCAAAATCATTGGGATTGGTGTGGGATGTTTTTCCAGGTCTCTTATCTAAATATTCCTTGATGAGTGTCTCTATAACTCTCGCCAGAGTCCACATGGCATTTTATAAATTACAGATTTTTTTTTTTTGTAATTTCAATGTCTAGTGGAAATTTGGCATAAGGAATTCAAAAACTCAAATAAGCTATTTATACTTTGTGGGTGTACACCGGACTGCCTTCAATGCTTTTGACTTAAAAATTATTGATAGCGATGATGACGATACTGAACCGACGAAACGGTGTTGGTGCTGGTGGTGGTGGTATGGCTGGTTTACACAATCGAAGCGCATGCGTTCATGGTTCAACTGGTTTTGATTGGCTTCATCACACACACTGTGTGCACTACTTGTCGGTAGTATCGTTGTTGTTGTTGTTGGTGTAGCATTTAGTTATTGGCAACTGTAAGCATTTTCGTTGCTGTTGTTATTATAGTTGTTGTTCTAGCTGACGTCTTACCACTGCCACGCTTGGCTGCATGCTGTCAGTAAGCTTGTGATGACGGCTGTGTGTGTGTGTATTTGCTTTCGCCTCACTTTGTTTCAAACTGTGCTGCAGTGCAGTGAGCGCGCAAGCAAAATTCATTCATGGAAACCAAAACGTATCGACTTGCACATGCGCGCTACCGCTGAGCCAGATTTCAAACAGCGCTTATGGTTTTTTTTTTACACTTTTTCTACAACCTTCCCCGCCGCGCGCGCATACTTGCGCCTAACTCAGCAAGACTTAAATCGTAACACCCACGCAAGCGCGCGAGTGGGCCGCTTTGAATGCCACCACCAACAGCGTTCGCACTTAAGTCAAAGTCAAAACGCCTCCTTACTTGTGTAATGTGTGAGTGATGCGGTGAGCTACGTCGCCGGCTACGTGCAAAGCGCTCAAGCATTGGTACGCGCGCTCACTCAATCGCTTTTGCTGATTCAGTCATCGCTGATCTTGCGCCGCGTTAAGTTATACTGCTGCCAGCGCTAATGTAGCGAAAAAAGCCTTGCGCGCATCAATACTCGCGTTCGAAGGAACAAGTTATTAGTAGCGCGCAGCTATTTTTCATTAACTTAGTGATTGCGATCGCAAATAATTAACGATCTGGCAGCACGATCAGATCAATGCAGTCAGTGCGCGCGCGCGTTCTCGATATAGCAGCAGCGCGCTCCAACCAGCAGCGAGTGTCAGCAACGCAACAGTCACTAAATCACAAAATATACTTCCAACGCGTTGTGCACTTTACCAGTTGCTAACTGATCGCAGCGCATTCAGTACGTTACTGGCGCGCGCAGCTGATAGATGTACACGTCGCGTCGTCGTGGAAATTATATAGAACGCGTGCAGGCAAACAGTCATTTACGGCGCGCAGTGTGAGCGAGAATTTTAAGGCAACAACTGCAGTGCCACATAGATTTTACTTCGTTGTATTTTTGGTTAAAATAAAACTGAAAAAATATCGCATAATTTGAGTATTTAGTGAGTTTACTCATCGCGCAAAATGTCGCCGTCATCTTCATAAACTTGCGCGCTCTACACACAGTTATTTGTATCTGCATATCGCGTGTTTGCTCTTAGATGCTCGCGTTTTTGCCTTAGTTCCTTTTCGGTTCGGGAGCGCGTTATAAATAAATACATACAATACCGTTGTTGTGATGTCATGCGGCGCTGCGGTGATGCGGCATGCTGATGATGCGCGCTGATGATGAGCGATCCCCATAAAATGAAAATGCGATGCGTGCATAGCTGCGGACAATTCTGATAATCGGATATTTTTAGATTGCATGTGAATTCGAAACGGTAAGAGCAACAGCAGGCAATGGCAATACATAGCAGTCGCCGCAATAAATGAAAAGTCAAATTAGATTCGGCAACGAAATCAACATTCAGTGGAAATAAATATAGGTGTGCAGCTATATATTATTATAGTTCCGTTGCTGAATATTTGATTAGCGTAGCGCTAGCGGCAGTAGGACATTGATTTCCTGGTGTGCGATTTAAGAAATTTGGAGCAGTGGAGTGAGTGTTGGGCTGATTGAAGGAAGGTGAATTTGCAGCGCTGTAGTTACAAATGAAACATAAAAAAAACTCCAGCTAAAAATGTAAATTTGTCACGCGCGGTGTTGAGTGATCAGTGAAAAGGAAAACTGAAAAACAAAAAACTAAAAAAAAATATAAAATTGAATTAAATTTGTCGAACAAATTTCCGGCGACTTTTATGAGTTCTAATAAAAGAAAATAAATAAATATATGTATCCTGTGGCTATGAAGTGAGTGAGTGCATTCTTGTTGAAGACAGCTATCCACAGCAGCGAGATTTTTTTTCCCCCAGCAAGACAACAAGTGACTGAGTGATTTATTGTTGAGCGCATGTCAGGCGCTCCAGGAGTAAATACTTTTTTACAATACAGGAAGATGTGTGTATAAATGTATATGTACATATAGACTTGCATCCACATAAGAAATTGTACATGCATGTACTTATGTATAAAAATATATTGTGAGGTTAAGATGGCATGGAAAAGCCATAAATAAAGAGAAGAAATTAAAAATAGTACTCAAAAAAAAAGGGATTTCAATTAAAGTAAAAAGAGAAATAAATCAAAATAATCTATAAATAATCCGTTTCGTTTCACGCCAAATCAACAGCATTTAATTAACGAAAACAAAATTCGAATTAGCAGACAAAGAAATCTGTATACATACATATATAATACGCGAAGGGATTTTTTGTCCAGGTCATCAGATCTACGCCGTTCGTTCGATTTTCTTAAATGAGGTGTCAAATTAAAGGGTTTGGACTGTAGATGTGCAATAATATTTTTTTTTGAAAAGGGCTGCCACCTGTTAAACATTTAAATGCAAATTATTTAATAATCAATACCATCAGATCCGCACAGTTCGTCCGATTTTCAAATGTGTTGTGTCAAATTAAAGAGCTTAGGGTGCGAATGTTGAATAAGGTTTTACTTTTTCGAAAAGGGTTGCCACCTGTTAAGAAATTAAGCTCAAATTATTTAAACAGTGAAATTAATTGTTGCAATATGGGTATAAACCCAAAATGGTTTTGAAAACGCTTTATATCTTAACTACGTGTAGGAAGGTTGCCACATGTTTAAAGGGTTAAATTAAAATAATTCAATAATTTAAATAAATTATTATAAGATCAAGTTATCAATGGAAATAGGTTTAAAATCCTTTATTTCAGAACTATATTTGGGAGTGTTGCCACGTGTTTAGAAAATATATTTAAACTTTAATTAAAGGAATTTTGTAACTGAATAAGGCATTAATATATCGGTGTCAGACAAGAGAGGTTTAAGAAGGTAGTAGTTTGGAAATATTTTGAAAAGGGTTGCCACCTATTTGAGAATTCAGATTAAATTGTTTTATACCCAGGTTATATGAAATATTAAAAATGGATGTCAAATGAAAGTTTTTAAAGAAATCTGTAGTTTGACTATTTAGAATATTTTTAATGTTTGAGGGTTGCCCCTGTTTAAAAGGTTAAATTAAAATAATTTAATAATTTAAATGAATTAAATAAATTATTATAACATCAAGTTATCAATGAAAATGGGGTTAAAGTCCTTTATTTCAGTACTATATTTAGGATGGTTGCCACGTTACTGTTATGTCACCACTTATTTATTTACAAATATCACAACAGTTAACCTTAAGATAGTATTTCAGTTATTGAGAGAGGAAATTATAACTTTATTTATAGTAAAAATCGATTTCAATACGTCAAACGCGCTGGAATGAGAAGATATGTGACTACATACATACATACATGTTTATGCAAAAACATTAATTACTTTTATTACTATAAAATAAATTATTTACGCATATAGCTTCAACTCCTCCAACACTGACACTCCCTCCTAAGAATACAAAAAAAAAAAAACACAAACATCGCTGTTTAATAAGGCGGCAATTTGTTGCCATATTTATTACAGCAGGCGCCTGCCAACCCACCCACACCTTCCTTAGAGCCTATCGCTCACTCGCTAGCTCAGCCGCGGGCAACAAAATGTGTATTTGCACAGTTAGATTAAAAGTAATAAATGTTTTATATACTCGCTCATGAATGCAAATTAACAGGCAAAGAAAACAAATAAATAATCAGCGGCAAGTCGAGGAATAGTCAGGCGGAGCAACAGAGCGAAGCAGTGATATGATTGTATGTACATACATATGTACGTATTAACATTTATAAATGTAAATAATTGTGAATTAGTGAGACAGTGAGACAGTGAAGAAACAGTGAAGCCCTCGAGACCAGCGAAGCTCAACGAACCCCCCAAAAAAGTCATAATTAACTATTACCAAGCTCATCAGCTATAAAAGATAACAAGCAAAGCAAGGCATCGATACGCGCCAGACAGCCCAAACAAAACGCAAGGCATTTAAGCAGCCGGCAGCAAATAAAGGCGGAACGGCAACAACATTACCAATACCAATGTAAGACACTTAGCTAAGTAGATTTAAGCTTTTACACACTTACACTTACAAACATACCTACCATAGATATAAATATATCCTATATATTGCTTCACTTGCATGTAAATTCACGTACGTTCGAGTCTACATACTAAATACATTCTAAATACTGTTGGCTGCGGCAAGTAAATAGGAAATTGCTTAGGATACTAGGGAATAAGTACGAGTACTAAGTACATTAGACTGTACCACCTTACAAGCAAACAAAAAAAAGTAAAAGTTGTCTGTTTATGTGAAATGCGACAATAAAAAATTTTGTTTCAAAATTGGAACGAAAATAATAAAGATTTTAATTTTTAGATCATTTCATCGTTAAATCTAAATTTGGATGGAATAATGGTTACGTTTGGATTTTTACTTTTTCGGTCAAATTTAATTGTTATTTTGCGGTTTTTTTCGATCAGATATAATCGTTATTTTGGACATATCGAGCCCTAACCGCCAAAAAATGTAAGCGACATTTTTTTTCAAAATCTTCTTTTTGACGCAGAAATGTTCCCAGAGCACCTAGATGCATTTCTGCATCAAAAATAAAATTTTGACAACAAAAAATTCGCATACGTCTTTTTGGCGGTTAGGACTCGATATATTTTTTTCGATAATTTTTAAGTAGCGCGCACTGCTAACCACTACACCACAGCGGCCGCTAGATGAAAATAGACTAAACACTGCGACCAGTAGGTATATTGTGCCCTCAGGTCAGAATAGATCCCAGATGTTGGGGGTGCATGCGCTCTTCTCTTGGTCATATACGAATGTTCTATGCACGTCTCCTTCTCCTTGAAACGGCGTCATACTCCACAAGGTGATGAATTTACGTATATTTCTCGTAGTCAAAAAAGCCTGTAATCATTCTTACCTTCTCTTTGGGAAGGTATATGAGTTGTCTGTATCTCTTTAGATCGCACCCCCTAGTAGGCACTTAGTTTAACGAAGATACATCGTGTTTCGCCATGCATTTCGCTCTGTTTATTGTTTTCTTTCAAAGCGCTTTCTTTATCATGTTAGCACCTACCGCATGGAAGCGCCCAGGTCCTGTCGAGGTCAAGGCGGCAGCTTTGCTGCCTAATTGATCGGCTTCCTCATTTCCTTGGATAGCAAGGCCATAAAGCTTCTCTATGCACTCCAGGAACATTGAGGATTTCACCTCCATGGATGAGGAAGCTATTATAAGTGACGCCTTACTATCACTAAGCGTAAGGATCGTCTCACCTTGATAAATCCTACGAAAATGTATCTCTGCGCGCAGACTAAAGGCATAGACTTCCGGTTGGAAGATTCTTTGGACGATTCCCATGAACACTAAATGCTTTAATAACACCTTATAGCAAAATTTAAGTTCCCTTTGCCATCTGCTCAAGTGTAAGATACAGTGCCTCAAGAGTTACCTCCAGCGCTATCATCGAACATATGCGCATAGCGCCCGTGATGCAAACATATGCCAGATGTTGAATCTTGGTGAGTGACCAGAGTAGTGCTGGATACCCAAGGTTACTATTGGTCATATTTACTATTAGTGGTGAACATCCATCTTAAGATCTCGTAGCCTTGGAGGTGGCCACCACAACATGCGTCCTCCATGCAGTCCGGGATAAAACCTAGATACTTCATTTCCGACACTACATTATTCGCGACCCCATGAAAGGCTAAGTTCCTCATTCCCTCATGAATTCTTTTCCTGGTAAAAGTGACAATGGCTGCCTCAGAGGAATTAATATTAAGACACGCAATCTGTTTTCTAGAACGATGTGACAAAAACTTTCATCAGAGGCCGCATGAGGGTAAATTTTCACATTTTCTTCAAACCTATTTTCGCAATTTGGCAAGCTTCAAATTGAATCTAGATCCATGGTTTCTTCGACAAATTGGCTTAGAATTACACGTAGACTCAATCCTCCAATGCTATACGAGCATGGTAAAAAAAAATGACCCGCCCTAATGTACGTACATATTTGTTAAAGAGGCTCGGCTGATGTTGTTGTAATTTTGGTTTTGGTTGCGGTTGATATTGTAATGTCGCTGCTGTTATCATTATTGTTCTACTCACTGTTATGTTTGCAAAAAGCATAAAACTCTTAATTAAAACACCAACAAAAAACGGCAAATCGTTCCAGGCGTTCTAAAATGTCTATATTTTTATACAAAGTGTATTTATGTTTCTTCATTACTGCACGTAGAAAAGCAAAGTATTCTCTATGCTTGTTGGCCAATATGTAGACATCAGAATGTGAGCAATAAAATATAAATTTATACACATAAACATGTACATATGCATACATATACAATGTATGTAGATATGCAAGAGAAAATGTGCATGCCATTTGTGTAGTGAGTTGGCGTACGGAAACGCGCCCGGCTGCATGGACAGGCGCATAGACTGGCAAGGCAAATATGTACGTAGTCGAATAGGTGCCAGGCTGGCATCTCGTGCGATATTCTCCCACATATATGTACCTGGGTATCCATGCAACTATGTATCCATATATACATACATACAAAAATATATGGAAGATTCTTTTGTACATATTTATGATAGTTTATATGTGTGTGGCGACACAGCACAAAAAGAAAGCCATCAAGAATCGCTAGCTGGCAGGCGAAAAGATAGACACGCTCATTTCAAATAAATTCGTGCAAATATTGTATGCATGGAAGCATTCGCCTTCGCTACAGTGCTGCGCTAATAAAATTTACTATTTGTCATTAACGGATATTAAAGAACTTTTAATTTTATTGACTTTATATGGATAGAGATGACAGCAAGCTTATTACATCAGCAACCAAATTGAGTGCTAATGGCTGCGCAACAGCTCGCACGTCGACTGAAAACCAAGTACAAATTCTTTCAGTGGAAAGGAAGCTTTGTACTCCCGCGTTATTGCTCTGTCGGTGTAAGTTTCAGTCTGTCAATCCAGAAAAAAGCTTCTTCTGATTAGCTTGGGCCTAGGACGCTTTATTTCAGTGAAGTTCTCAGAAAGCTTTACTCTGTGCATGCCCATCCCATGTGAAGCTTTGAAAAGCTACTCCTAAGGGATACGTCTTCGTCTTAATTACAATAGATATACGAAACTATAGAGCAGTACGTACTGATTATAGAAAGAGTTTTCACACAAGGTACGCCTGTATAAAGATCAGCAAAAGCTTTTACTATGTGCACGTTCTTATAAAATCTATAAAGAAAAAATAAGTAAAAAGTTTCTCCCGCGGCAAATGTTTTATTCGTGACTGATCGCTGAGAGCGTTTATTCTGTACATTTGCATAAAACTAAGCTTTTAAGCTTTCTATACACATTAAATCAGAGATGCTCAAAACAGCGTCCTCGGGCAAAACTCTTTAAAGCTGTCTGTATATTCAATAAGGGTGCGCATAGAGTAAAATCTCTCTCTGTCCATCACTGCTTTAAATAAACACACATCATAAAAGCTCTCTCTGCCTCATAATGATAAAAATACTCACCATACTATATGCGCATGCCTGCCAAAGCTTTTAAAAGCTCGCTGTACAATTTATATTTGGCTAGCTCAAAATAAAAGCTCCCACTGGTTGACACAAACCCATGATAGGCATCGCACTTACCTTGTGCAGAGCTTTTTGAAGCATTCTTTAGAAGTTGTACAAACATCTGCATAGTAAAAGCTCTCTGCTGATCGCTGATATGAAATTAGTAGAATCAATAATGGACATAGAGGGCTTTTACACTATCTTTTTCAGGCAATTGTATCGAAAGCTCAAAAAGCTCTACACGCTGACAAGATTCGTTCTGCCTTAACTTCCTTAAGAAATAGCATTTACATGAGGTTGTTTTATTATATCAACTTAATGTTTGTGTTTTGGCTTCAGACTTAACGGCCCGAGGTATTTCTCCAGTCTACTCATCACAAATGCAGTATACTTAAATCGTTAAACTAGATTTCGAGTTTGTAAGAGTGAATTTTTACTCTGTTTTCTTCGAGAGGTTATTAAGATTTTCATACCTTTTCTTTTATCCCCCCTCCAATAGCCTTTTTGTCTGGCTATGCCTAGAGCCTTGTTTCCAGTGCTGTGCTATGTTTGTTTTCTTTTCCCGTCCTAAGCTCTCCTCTGATCGTGTGGTCATATTAAAAAGAGAGGTTTGGAACCTACTGATATTGTTTCTTCAGCCATACTGGCAAGCATGTGCCTTACTTCGTTTCCTTCTATGCCCATAACCCAGGCGAAAAACGGCATATTGTATGGCACCAAGAAATTTAGCCCCTCTACGCTCTCGAGATCCAATTATAACTACGATTTATGGGAGAGAAGATCACTGAGCTTAGTTATGTTTTCACTACACTATTTTTGTTTAAGTATCATTTGTGGACAGTAAGAAGCTTTTTAAAGCTTCCTATAAATATATAACAGTCATGATCAGAGAGAGAGAGCTTTTACGTTATCGCATCCATATAAAGCGGTGTGAGAGCTTTAAGGAGTTTTGTCGGCGGCCGTTGTTTTGAGCACTACTCATATAATACTTAGATGAAAGCAAAGCTGGGCGGATAGAGCTTTACTCTGCAGGCGTCAAAAAAAAATTATATGTAGAATGCTTGAAGAACCGGTTCATATCAAAGGCATGTAAAGCCTAGAATAAATGAGTAGAAAATATAAAAAGCTCTACCTTCGTGGCAATAATTAGGCTAACTCCGACTGAGACACATTCGATAAATTACGACCATTCGATTCGTATTGATAGGCCAATGAATTTCAAAAACACTAAATTCCGTTTCCTAAATCGATAAAATTCGATGACTCTAAATTTTAATAACTATCGATAAGCTTAGATAACTGTGCGTTTCCAGATAACTCAAAAATTTTGATATCTCAATACACTCTGGTAACTCGACAAAAATTTAACTAATCGATAAATAGAGATAACTCGATGAATTCAAGCTATTCTAGAAGTTTCGTTAGCCCGATATACTTTGAAAATTCCATAAGCTTCGAC